GGTGAACATGATGTAATCTATGCAGAAATAGAAGTATAATGATGTACACCTGAAATTTTTACAATGTTATAAACAAATGTTACTGCAATAAACAAAAAATTTAAAAAAACAAGAAAGAAAAACAAAACAAAAACATTCCTGATGTTCTCTAACATCTGAGGCAAGTCAAACAGACCAGGAGATGAACTCCACAATGTATCAACATAGAGACAACTATTCATTTTCTTATCCATAATTAATGGACATTGTCAATTTTAAAGACATATACTCAACAACATCAATCAATTGGTAACTATACATTGTACACAGCTTATTTTGAAGGTAACCCAGTAGGACTTTCAATCAGCAAGAAAATTACAGGAAGAAAAGAAAAGTTCATGATCAAATTCGTTCATTCATTTAACATATTTATTGAGCACCTCTTATGCATCAAGACCTCTTGGAGGTTACATTCCATCAGGATGCATATTTAGCTAAATTTAAGTGATACAGGAAGATATACACAGTATGAGAAGGGATGGAGGGTACTGACAAAACGCTATTTTCAAAATTGTGATCAGGAAGGACTTCTCTGAGGAGAAAGCCTTCAAGAGAAGATTTGGAAATGACGTGAAGGAAAGAGATAACGTGAAAATCTGCGAGAGGACCTCGAGTACAAAGGTCATGTGGTGGTGGGAGCAGTCTAGGGGTCTTGGTGTGCTCACGGAACAGCCTGTGTGGTAGGAGCTTAGGGAGAGGGGAAGGGGGATAGGAGGCAGGTGCGAATGGTGGGCTGTCAACCAGAGTGAGGACTTGGGATTTTATTCTCTGTGTGATAAGAAGTTATTGGAGAGTTTTGAACAGGGCAGGGTCCTAACCTGACTTATGTTTCGAAAACATCTCATAACTTTGTAGAGAGTAGAGAAGGGTAAATTGTGGAAGCAGGGAATAAAATACAAAATTGGATGAAGATTATATATATAACATAGAAGAAGAAAATTCAATTTACCCTCAACATGTATACCCATCTTCTCTCTCTTTTCCTTTAAGCACTATCTTAGGAATCTCAAGAATGTATAGATTTTAAAGAAATAAAAAGATAAGTTAGAGGAAAATAGGGTGTGACAATAACATGAAAATAAAACATAAAAGGTCAGGAGAATATTTTTCATAGAGAAGAGAAAACTGTTGTCTATTGGGTTACAAACTCTGGTTCATGCCTAAGACACCTTGGGCTCCAATCTCCCTGGTGCCATATAATAGGCATTGGGGAATCATATGAGCTCTTTCAGACTTCCAGATGAACAGTCTTTTTGTTATCCCTTGGAGGAAACACTTCCCCATATCTGTGTGAGGTTAGTCTCCTCTGGTCTTGACTATAAGATTGCTGTACATGGACTAACTGTAACTGTTAAGGCTACTTCTGGTTTCAGTTTATCATACCAATCTGACCACTTGAAAAAGGAATGGTGACAATAATGGACATGGATTTTCGGAAATGACCAACACTGTGAACACAAACAAGCCAGATGGAAAAAAGAACTACTCATAAATCAACACTTGACTCACACAAATAGAGAACCGTCAGTACCCTTCCTGGGAATGTTAGATATGTTGAGAATAATAAATCTTTCAAGATGTCGGCAGTTCTAAAGTGAAGCCAGACCAGTTGATCTTGAATAGGTCTTAAAGCTTTCCCTGAAAGACACTGGTGCACTGTAGAAACTTAACAGCGTGATCTATCGCTCTTTGATGTGTCAGAAAGCATTATTGTTTGCTCTTTCCTGACTGTGACTTTTCTCTCTTCCCATTCACTGACCCCAGTTTACTTCAGAAAGGTCGGGCAAACTCTGCTCATACAGGCTGTCAATGCCTCCTCTGTATGATGCATCAGTTGCTCTTTCCATTGTTTCTGTCAGAACTCCAGTCAGGTTTTCCACTCCAACTGTGCCAGTGAGACCCCACTTCCATCTCACTCTACTCCTGACACTGTTGCCAGATACATCTGATCATGTCCTTCCCCTGATCAAAATTCTATAATTAATTCTCAACCCAAGGCTACAGAATAGAGTCCACAGTTCTTCACTGGCTTTTAAGCTACTCTAGAATAAAAAGAGTTGCCAAGTGCTAACAATCCAATAAAAAAATAGTCATTTAGGGGGCCGGCCCTGTAGCGTAGCAGTTAAGTGCGTGCACTCCGCTACTGGCAGCCTGAGTTCGGATCCCAGGCACGCACTGATGCACTGCTTGTCCGGCCATGCTGAGGCAGCCTCCCACATACAGCAACTAGAAGGATGTGCAACTATGACATACAACTATCTACTGGGGCTTTGGGGAGAAAAAAGGAAAAAGCAAAAAGAGGAGGATTAGCATGGATGTTAGCTCAGGGCTGATCTTCCTCACAAACAAACAAACAAACAAACAATAGTCATTTAATGAAAAACTTCGTTTCAGATTATACCTTTCAGTGCCTCTCTGGGTCTCCTTCTGACATGTTGCCAAGGGTCATTGCAACACTCCCATGTTCTTGCCTCTTGACGACAGACCAGAATAAAACCGTTACCCAATTCTGATTCCACAATCTCCTCACTTCTCTCACTGCTCAGCCTCCACACTATGTCTCAGTCTGGAATTCAAGACTTGGCCCCTGCTATTCTCCACATCATGGACCTCTGGTATTCTCGTGTTACCTTCTCCATCCTCCCTACTCAAAACCTCCACTCCAGTCTAACTGAACGACCCCTGTCCCGAGAACAAGTTAATACTTTCTCACCTCTGTATCTTTCATACCTCTGTCTGCCAAGAATGTTCCCTTCTTCCTGTCTCCTGCTCAGTTAGTTCTACTCTTTTCAAGCCTAAATTTTTTCTACTTAGTGAAACCTAGAGACCCAAAGCCGTTTTTCCCGCTTTCAAACCCCTGGAGACAGCGTTCATCATACTCATTTCAAAACGATCAAGAGGCAGGTGCACACGTTATTTTCTTGTGTATACGTCCTGTCTCTCTTCCCTACTTTCACTTCCTTATCAGCAAAGACCATGGGGTGCTTTTCTTTGATTAGAATTACTAACATGGTGCTTTTATACAGGAGGTACTCAAGAAATGTTGTTTCAGAGGTAAAACAATAGATATTTACCAAGCATCTTCCAGGTGAGTTACCACTAAACACGAAGGAGAGTGTGGACAGTAGGCACTTGATAAATGTCCACAGATTTTACATTTCACTTTAGTAATTAATTACTGAATATCAAGTATATGAATTTATTACTCAAGACACTATAGGAAACTAAAAGATGAATAAGATACAGGCCCGAGCCTCAAGAATTTTGCAATCTTGAAGGGAGCACCGTTTTTAGAGAAGGAAAGAGAAAAGTTGTGTGCAGATTTTTAAAAAGTGTTATCGGATTTCAAAAGTAGGAGAACTCTTAAGAGTTCAATAACTCAGAAAGAGTGATCCAGAAATTTTCATGGCTCATAAATTATTTCTTCCTGGGCTAAAATATGTTATCTTACTAGTCAGCACCAGACTTCCTCTTAGGGAAGGTATCGTCCTTATTTGGAAACAGAATGTGACGGACTATTTGGGTCTGCAAACATAGGCCCAAGGGCGGGGTCTGGACAAAGAGAGGAGTTCCAAGGGAAGTCTAATTTCCCCTCATTAGAAAATGAGAAAGGGGAGGGAAAGATTTTGGGAAGAAGGGTAGAGGGTATTTCCAAAAGAGGAGAAAGAGGGTTAAGCCAGCATTATGTTGGAGCCCACTCACTCCCAACCGCAAGAGCTGATTGTGCACATCTTGTCCCAGCTCTCATTCAGTAGCACCCAGTCGATAGGCTGAAGTCAGCTACAGTGGGAGTATTTACACTGTGGAAATTATAAATGCTATATATCAGAGGCTTTTTTTTTAGAGTGAATTGTGAAATATTTACCAGCACACAGCTGATTAAGCCATGGGATGGGAAGAAAAAATGTGAGATGTTGGCCAAGAAATATTTTAAGCTCAGAGATGCCAAATATTCCATTTTAAATTGTTTCTTTTGCCTCAAATTTACCTGTGTTCCCAATTTTCAGTCAAGTCCAATACAGAACTAAAAGCCTTGAGTGAATGTGTTGTATGTGTTTATGTGTGAGTGTGTGTGTGTGTGTGTGAGTGTAAAATAGGAATAGGGTTGAATTCCATGTTAGAGATGAGGAGGTGCAGAACAGGGAGCAAATTTGCTGGATGTCGAGATGATTCGACAAAACAAATTCAACACGAGCGAGAGCCTGCGACCCTATGTGACTAGGAAAAGGAGCAGAGAAAGTGAGGTGCTTCACGTTTTCACTCCACGTGGGGTTCAAGCCAACTGCACAGGAGTCTTAGAGACAGAGAACCTCAGCTGACTTCTAGGTAACAGAATTAATTGTAATTTAGTGTCCATGTGTTTTGTCACTTCCATTGCCTGTGCAAGGAAAAATTCTCGTCTACCACGATATACATAAAGATCCTTAGCAAAAATTTCACAGAAACTTCAGAAAACTGACTCCTTAGTCTCCACTAGGAAATCAGTCTCTCAGAAGTGGTGATTTCCAGGCTGACTGGTGTCGGGCGAGCCTTGTTACCAGGTGTAGCTGTTCTTCACTTTACTGTGGCCCAAGCATAAAATGATCTAAACCTTTCTAACTGGCTCTTTCTCTTTCTCATACTTTATTATAATGATGGGCAAGTATTTTTCTTTATCAGCACAACACCATATTATTATCAGCTTATTATGAGTATTAGAACCAAATTAATTAATGATAATATCTTTAATGGTTCAAGAATATCAAATGTCTTAAAAGCTTGCAACATACCTTGAGGATTCTTGCTTCTAGATTTCTGATTAGGTCTTGGCAAATTCCAGAAACAAAATATTGGTACAATGCAAGGAGAGGCAGAATCTACCAACAGAAAAACACTCTTTGTTTTAAAACATATTTTATCAAGTTAATAACCTAATAGTAAAATTAAAGCAAATATTAATATAGGAGATGTATGAAAAATAGTGATTGATTTTTCCAAGCTATGAAACTATACTGTTCAGTATAAGTGAAATGATCTACCTAGCATATGCCTCATAATTTTCTCAGAACTTTGAGGTGTATCAGGGACTTACAGTTCCACATAGATGCCATTTGGTACCCAAAACCTAGGTTTCACATCTCTTTAGGCATGGAAAAGTGAAAATCCAATTAGTTCTATTCCTTGAAAAAAATTAATTCAACATACATGTATGAATCACTGAGACCTGTGGAAACATTCTAGCAAATGAGCTATCAAATACATGCAAACTTTAAAACAAAGGAACTCACATCCCTGTCCCCTGATAGCTCCTACTTATTCATTTCAACGTCAGCTGCTATTAGTCTTCAACTGGAATATCTCTATCAGCAAAAAATATTTATAACATGCCTATTATGTGTTAGGCACTGTTGAATGAGAACAAGCCAAAATCTAACCAGCCCCTGCCTTCACAGAGCACATATTCTATTGATTAAAACCCAAGCTTACTCTTCACATTGTATTTTTATTTTCCCAGAATTAACCCCAAAGTTCAACCCTTCTTAAAATCTCATGGGTAGATGTGAAGGCTTACAGACTATCAATATTTCAACTGACCTAGCCACTACCCAGCTGGACACAGGTGTTGAGGGAACAGGTTTGCCTAGACTTCTGAACAGCTCATGATCTCAACTTAAAACTAGAGCTCAGTTTCTACAGCTGGGTCCTGCCCCACTAAAGGGAGATGGAGCAAAAAGGGGGATTGGGATCCCCATTATTTAGCAAACTATATCCCATGATTCCACAATAGGTCCCATAGCAAATTTTACATGTGACAGCAATTTCCTTAGCCACTGGGCTTCTTCTGGAGGGTAGTGTAATACAAAATGGAAACTGTGTACATCTTGCAAGTTCATCTAAGGAACCTCTAATTGTCAGTCAACTGGCAGCTGCTAATAGCAACAGCCTTTAAAAAGGATTAGAACTGGTCTTAAACGATTTCAAACATAATACATTTTTCTACAATTATGCACTGCAAACATAACACAATGCCTTTTTCTACAATTAATGCAGCACAAAACAATGAGTTGGCTATTACCTTTGAGATTGTTTCTTTTCTTTAGTGAGAAATAAAAACACACCATTTTATTGCTTCCAATTGCTCAATTATTCATAAAAATGTTCTCAATTTCTTAAGCTTCAGAGGAAAAAAAGTCTCATTTCTTTTCCAATGCAGCGATATATATTATATATGAATATGACTAGGCAGCTAAAGATTACCCAGGGGATAGAACTATTTTCTAAATTCAGAAATGAATCCCTTTAACAATGAGAGGAGCACTGTTTTGTTATTTTTTCTAATAAACAATTTCTTGCCAAATCTTCGAAGTGTTAAAAGCATTTATCAACCTCTCCACTTTAACACATGGCTTTATAATTTAACAACTCATATCAGGGGGCAATAAATCTTTTCAATATAAAGAGAGAGAGTGATTTTAGGACAAGAGAATAGAAAACAACATATAAAAAAAGAAAGTAGGTATGAAAATTATGGAGGAAAGGGAAGAAGCAGAAAAAGAGAAAGAATAGATACTAAGAAGCAAATATGGGGGGAGGTACAAAAAAGAGAGGAAATAGCATAAAAGAGGAAAATAGAAAAAAATAAGATAAAAGAGAAAAATATAAAATGACCAACAGTTAGAACACACTAATTTATTTTTAAAATACAACCCACTTCAAATTTGTGATATATAGGGTGATTTATTTCCCCAAAGGAAAAGAGAGTTGTATTTGGGTTTCTGAATTTCCTAGGACATGAAGAAACATCTGCCTTTTATTTCACAGTTAGAATCTGCCGTTCACTTAGATGCACCTTTAACAGAGAAAAGTCAAGAGACACAAAGATAAATTTATCTCAATAAAGAAATACTCTCATAGTTTTGGCATTGATACAACCTGCACGACTTAATGCAGTGAGTTACATGTGCAAGAGATTCCTCTGTTTGAGACTAGCAAAACATTCTAATCAACTTCACCAAATGTCTTAAGGAAAAAAAATAGATAAAAACAATAGAGTGAAAAGAAAACAAAATCAAATAGACATTGCTCTCGTATCCAAAATGCAATGTAAACGATGACGTCGAAGAAAGAATATTAAGTAATACATTTTATTTTAAAGTACAGATAAGAATCCTGAATAGAGTTTAAAAGTTAAACAAGAACTGACCAGAAGAATATTAGCAAAATTCGAAAAGTATAAAGGAAGTGGGGCAAAAATACCACCGTGAATTAAGATTTGTTGGCTTTACAAATTACTTACTATTAGATTTTGCTTAGCAAAGTGCAGTTCACGTATAATGTAATACAGACTTGCAACCACAGAGCAAATGTCAGCCCTGTATCTATCCGAGAAGAGCTCGATGCCAGGTAGAAGCTGAGTGATTTCATACTGAGCATAGCAACGTTCAGCTTTGGGGTGTGGAAGTGTGGTTCTAAGCAAACCCTGAAAATGACAAAAGGTGAAATTAAGAGCTATAAATCACATTTGTAACAATGAAAAGAAAGATAAGTATCACTTCCTAAAGTGCTTAGCATATATCTAGTACACTGTACTCTGTAATGAACAGTACTTATCATTAATGTTATCATGCTTTTACCACTCAAGATTTAAATTTCATGATAGTCAAATACTTATTCTTTTCAGAAGAAATTATCATTATATTAAGTTATCATTTCTTGAGGGTCAATTTTGTATTGGTCACTATTGGTAAATTCTTTATAAACATTATCTCATTTAATCTTCATTTAACCCATTCCTAGAAGGAAGGATTATTATCTCACAAATGATATAATTGAGGCTTAAACAATTAACTTATCTGAGGTCACACAGCTAATGGCGGCAGAAAGAAGATTCAAAATCATGTCTATTTAACTCAAAAATCTATGTTCTTTCCACTATACCAAACTATAAGAAGAGGAGATAACTTATTTCAGAAGTCTAAATCAAGCAGAGGTAATTCTGAACTTTGAATTAAGTAAAAAGGTGATTTGTTTAACTTAACCAGTTTTTCTTAAGAAACTTATATGACCAACATTGTACCAGATGTGGGAAAAAGATGAATACACAAAATCAAATTTGACATTTAGGAGTACTTCCTATGTTATCTCAAATAATTAACATTGATGACAAATGCAATATAAAATTATTCAAATGTATGTATCAGGAAAGAATTTTAATCAGATCACTCATTAAAGTTATAAAGTACCTACTCTAAAATACTATGCAGTTGTTTAAATTTTTAATTTTACAAATTTGCTTTTAAAATCATAAAAGAATTAAGAAATTTTTAAAATAAATCCCACTAGCTAATTTTTATTTTAGGAGTAGTATTACTAAGAAATTAGGTCCACATTAAGCACAAAGTCAAAATTTTTTTAAATCACCTATTTTCTAAAATATAAACAGCATTATCTTCAAGAACAAGGAGTATCAGAAAGTGAAGGATGCAATATAAGGAGTCAGAATCCAATTTCATTCCCTTTGCACCCCTGCCTTTCACCTCTTCCCTTTGAATCAAAGACAGGAAGTATATGGAACATAAGAAAATTGAAAAGTCTGGCCTTCCATTCAGAGAAGCCTTTCCCAAAGAACTTACCTAACCAGATTTCATAACCTATCAGACCCCTCTGATACAAAGAACAAGAGTGCCCATCCTTCAAAGTAAACAGAACCTTTAGTAGCTTGCAAAGGCTCCCGGCTACATCCCAAATATCAAAACATCTTGTCTTCCAGATAAAAGCTCCTTTCTTCTTTGGTAAAGTCAAACCCAAATCCTGAGAACAGCAAACACTTCCACTCTGTAGCCTTCAACTTGTTTCTAGCTTTCATTATATGGTATATTTTACATCATGCGATCAAGCAAACCTTATGTAGAGATGAGGTAACTTAAGGCAACCACTTGGAGTCAAGCAGACTGGCTTCATTGCGTGTTGGCAACATGATCTTACTAATGACAGGAGACTCAGTTTCCATTTCCGTACAACACCTTCTTCTGTAGTTTAGGGAAGCAAACTGACTCGGTGGAATATCAAAGCTGAAAGTGGCACAAGGGTTCAGCCAGCGAAGGGAAGAGGGACTTATGACATTTAATCAAGGCTCATGCTATTCTCCTACCCATGAGTTTTATGAATATGATAAACTAGTACGGCACTCTTTTACTGACTGCATGAATGGTCACGTTACTGTAGAAAGACATACATAAAGTGTTACCTGAAAAAGTAATGCAGACAAAATGCAACAGTTGGTTCTCCTTTCAACATCCAACGTCTTGATAAATCTAAATAAGCATAAGAAAAAGAAACTGATTGATAGAAATTTTCCAAAAATATTTTTATATAAATATGTGTCTCTAATACTCATAGATTTTTCCAAAATTAAAATAGTCTTTGTGATTCTGAAAATGCTACATGCTCCTGTAAAATCCAGAACACAGAAAAACATACAAAAGAAAATAAGAAATCACATGTAATCCTACCACCTAAACATGATTACTGATAACATTTAGGCGAATTTCCTTCTAGCTTTTTTCGAAGTATAGTTATACACGAACACATAATAAGACTAGAATTATGCAATACGTACTATTTTATAAACAAATTTTCCATTTGTGGACATAACGAGCTACATTATAATTTTATAGAACTTTAATATTTTATCATATGGATATACTATAATAGGAAAATATTCATCTTCATTTTGGTTTCTTCAAATGCTGAGATAAACATTGTTGTACCTACACTTTTGAGCATCTGTCCTATAGTTCCATTGGATAAATCCCTAGAAGTGGAATTTTTTGGGAAAAAGAGGCACACAACTTTTAAGTTTTTGATAAGTATGTTTAAATAGTTCCCTCTAAAAGACTGAAACAAAATGTTTTCTCACGATCAGTATATTATGGACCCATTGACACTATTAAGCCTTTCCACCAAAGATTAAGGTAATGTTTCTCCATTTACTACTGTCTCATTTTACATCCCTTAGAAGAGTGAGATTTCTTTATATAGGTCTTGAAACTCTTACGCAACTATAAATCACATTACCTCCTTCTAAGTTTTATCTAGATAAAACCAGTCAGTCGGCTTCGCTATATTAATAACAACATCTATCTGAGTTTAGCTTCTCTATATGGATAGCCGAGTGCTGTGTTTTGCCCTTCTGAGCAGTGAGGAGAAGAGTTTCTTCTCCTCGGGGAGTCTCCCAGAACAGCCAAAGCCCCTGTAGAATTATATATCCTGTGGAAGTCAGACTTCCAGCTGGGTAACCAGGAAATGACTTGGTTGAAAACCACTAGGTAATAACTTCAGAGGCTCAGAGAAGCTGAGGTGCCCTCTGGTAGGAATGCTATGGCTGTTCTATTTTCAAGCTGTGAACTTTTCTCAGCTTTTCTATTCTCTGCTGCCAAGCTCTACTAAGTCATAAGCTCAGACTTGTGTGGGGATTGTGTGCGTGTGTGTGTGTGTGCATGTGTGTGTTTAAGGATGAGTTCCTTCCCAGGAGTGCAAAAAAGTCAAACTTGACAGAGTTTTTAAAAAATCTTTAACACTTTTTAAGTGGTAATTTCTTACTTCCTCTGCCCAAAGATGCTAATTTTCTGAAAACAATATGATTATTACATAGGAAAAGTTATTATTTTTTTTAAGTTTTTCTACAGCTCAAAATACTGTGCAGATTTTTGCCCACCACACCCTATAGGTAAGCTAAAAATGTAACTGGAGAAGTGAAGAAAATCTGTACCTCTACTCCCTCCATACTTTTTAAATTTCTCATATTAATCAAGTCTTTAAGATATCTGCCGGTGCTAACTAGGTCTAAGGCATTGAGATAGACTTTCACAAGTTATATGTGGTAGGCTAAATAATGGCCCCCCAAAGATATTCACGTCCTAATCCCACAAACCTATGAACATGTTACATGTTACATAGCAAAAAAAGACTTTGCAGATGTGATTAAATTAAGGGCCTTGAGAAGGGAGAGTATCCTGGATTACCCAGGTGGGTTCAATGTAATCCCAATGGTCCTTATAAGAAAGGCAAGAGGGTCGGAGTCAGAGAAAGATATGTGATGATGGAAGCAGAGGTCAGAGAGACAGAGAAGAAGATGATAGGCTGTTGGTCCTGAGGATGGAGGATGGGGCCATGAGCCAAGGAATGTAGAAGGCCTTTAGAAGCTGGAAAAGGGGAGGAAACAGATTCTCTCTTAAAGCCTCCAGAGGGAGCACAGCCTTGCCAACCAACACATTGATTTTAGGATTTCTGACCTCCATAACTGTAAGATAATAAATCTGTATTGCTTTAAGCCACTAAATTTGTGGTAATTTGTTACAGCAGCAATAGGAAACTAAAAAGTATTTGTTATGGGATAAAAAATGTGCCACCGCCCCAAATTCATATGTGGAAGTCTTAAACCCCAGTAACCTCTGAATGTGACTATACTTGGAGATAAGGTCTTTAAAGACATAATTAGGTCAAGATGAAGTCATTAGGATGGATCCTAATCCAACATGACTGGTGTCCTCATAAGAAAAGGAGATTAGAGCACAGACACGCACAGAGAAAAGACCATGTGAGGACACGGTGAGAAGACGGCCATCTACAAGTAAGGAGAGAAGACTCAGAAGAAACCAACCCTGCCAACACCTTGATCTCAGACTTCACGCCTCCAGAATTGTGAGACAACAAATTTCTCACAAATTGCTACTTTGTTATGGCAACCCTAGCAAACTAATACAGTATGTCACGTAACTCTCACCACCACAGCTTACAATGAGAACACTGAGGCTCAGAGAGAATGGGTAATTTGTTGAGGGTCCCAAAGGTAATAGGAGGCTCTTGAACTGGGCCCAGGTCAGCCTGCCTCTACACTGTTATTCTTGCTCCCATACCAACTGTTCATTCACTCATTCGTTCATTCATGCCAACTCCATGCCAGGCACTGGAGAACAAAGCAAAGACCTGAGCACATGTGGTGCTCACTTCCAGGGGCAGGAGGTGTTATAGGGAGAGGAGATGGCCATAAACAATAAACATCACAAATAAGTAAACTATATAACCCTGTATGATATGGATGTAGCTGCCCAAGAATCCAGCGTGTGTGAGGCATGGCGTTCCACGTGGCACAGGTGGGTTTCCCTCAAGGGAAGCTCTTAGCTACTATGCAGATCATTCCATCATCACACTCACTGTGCTATCTTTGCAGATATTACCGCTCCTTGCAAACATCCCCAAATGCCAATTTTTGACAGAAATTCCTCACTGTAGTCTTTGGAACCCGGAGGTGAATAGCTGTGGGTGGCCTTGGTGAGTGAGGAGCCAAACTCTTTCCACGTATGTAAAACATCTTGTTTTCTGAATATGTCATCAAGAGCTTGACACCAACATTTAAACGCAGCCCTAAAACAGAAACAGAGCATTTCTCCATACATTTTCTGAGATCTCTGTTATTAAATCTATCTTCCAAAAGGGAAAGCAAATGCACTGAAGAAACATTTTAATTAAAAGATTAGAGAATGAATCTATACCATTTATTGCTCATAACCATTTCTCATCAAATGAATAAAATGTAGCAATGGAATATTATCGAAGAACTAAAATTTATGAAAGACAATATTTTTTGACAGTGATTAAAATTTTTTTCAAACAGACAAAAAAAGTTGTCCCTTGTTCCTAAAAATCTACCTTTTTTTTCCTGCAAAGATGAGAAGACTTCCAAGTTCATGCAATGCCTGAACTTTAAGACTCCTTTGATTGCTGGCTTGGAGAACATCTGTATTTTTAATCAAGTGAAAGAACAAATGTCAGTTCCTGGAAAATATTTCCTTTATATTTGCAAGAATATTTTCAACTGCATTATTCCTTAACTGTGTAGATAAGCAAACTTCAAGCTAATAGTGCCTTCAAATGTCACACTATATATACAGAAAGAGAGGAAACGATGTTCTATTTGAACACAGTGGAGTGGGAGACTGGCTCTCAGAGACAAGAAACAAGATCGGGTCTAACAGGTAGGAAACATGGAGAAAGTAGAATGAGAGTCAGCCAGGTAGAGATGGTCGAGAAGAGAAATTCAGAAAAGGGAGAAAGGGCTGGGTGTATATGGAAATGACATGTGTGGCTAGAGTATGGTTCTCTCGGGAGGGTGAAGAAGGAGGTAGTGGTGAGATTACTGAGGCATCTGAATGCTTCATGGAGAAATGTGAACGTTATGCTGTAACAGATGGGAAGCCTCAAAGGGTTTGTGTTTGGGGGGGATTTTTCTGGGGTTTTTTTGTTTGTTTTGCTGAGGAAGATTCACCCTGAACTAACATCTGTGCCCATCTTCCCTTATTTTGTATGTGGGTCGCCGCCACAGCATGGCTGACGAGTGGTGTAGGTCTCTGCCCAGGATCCGAACCCGAGAACCCCAGCTGCTGAAGTGGAGCACGCCGAGCTCAACCACTATGCCACGGGGCTGGCCACCTCGAAGGGTTTGTTTTTGAGCATGGATGTGACAAGATCACAGCATAACAGATTCTTCTCTTTTACTCAAATGCAAAAAAGCATATGTTTAATATCACCTGAATTTTTGTTTTGTTTTGTTTTTCTGATGAATGCATGCATTCAGGGATGTCTAGCAAAAAAACCTAACCCATGTGGCAGTGGTTTCTAATGAGGGCAGTACTGTCCCCCAGAGGGTATTTTCAAAATCTGAGGAAAAGTTTTGTTAGCTGTCACAGTGGGGCATTTCCCGTGTTTCATAGGTGAAGACCAGAGACACTGGATGGCCTTCCCCCACAATGAAGAAAAAGGTGAGAAACCTGTTTAGAATTATCTGAGTCTAACATCTAACTTCATTTTACACATAAAAAGGATAGTTTTGCATGTTTTCAAATGCTCTGAATTTCCCAGAAATGCAACCATGCACTGTAGTACTTTGTTTTCTTCAGACCTTTACCTAGATTTATTTGACATTTCAGAAGATCACCATCACTAAAATTAACAGTGCTGATAGTACTTGAGTCACCGATACAATACACCTGTATCAGTCTGCATTCGTAGCTGTCACATTCATGGTGACTCGACATACAGGACATGTGCATCTGATTGCTTCACTGTAACTTCCAGTGCCTGAGCACTCAAGAGCCACAATAGATTCTCTTATTATAAAGTGATTTTGTTTTATTTATCCTTTATTTTATATTTAGAGCTTCATATTGATTTTTTTTGGAAATATATGTGTAAGAAGAATATATTAAATATAAATTTTATTTCAAGGAGTAAAAGGGGAATTACAAAATGTCTGTTATAAAAAAGGGGGATGCTAGGTCTACAACATGGGTTGAATATATACTGCTGAATTTGTAGAAAAGCCAAATCATGTGGAAAGACAAGGAAAATGGAATCAGCTGGGGCAGAGCAAAAGAACACGACAGTGGCCACATCCCGACAAGCAGTTCACAGATTCACTTAAAGGGTGATGGACAGAAGGGCGGCCTACAATCTCATAATGGCGACAGCCAGGCTGGGAAGGTGGGTAATGGGAGGGGCTGGAAGCTACTCTGTCACTGCCCGCGAGGGTGTGATGAATAGATTCGATGTTGGAGCTCTTTCATCCTACTTTTAAAGATAACATTTCAGGACCAAATGCAATCTCAACATTAATGCAGAAAATCATATTGAAAATGAATACATAATGAATAAATCTTACCAATAGTTCCATAATAAGAGGAAATTACGAGTCCCAGCTGTGAATAGGGAAGTTTGCTTTTCTCTACTGAACTGAAAACTCTGAAGTGTTCCTGAGAAAGGTCGGGGGGTGTTGGCATATGCATCTCTTCTGTTCCCAGGCAAAATTCCACCTTCCCAGTAGTAAATCTTGAATTGCATATTCCTTCTTTGTCTCCTAAATTCATGAAAAAAAAATTAAAAATAAATTTAAAATGGAGAAAGAAGGGAAGTTGATGAGGAGGAAAAAGAAGAAATGGGAAAGGAGAAGAAAGGAAAGATTTTGTATAGCTGAGACTTATTTGCAGTTTGAGTGACATTGTTTCTTTACACTTAGTACGGAGAAGCATTTCTGAAGAGCCCAGGTGTGCGTGGATGGGCTCTCCACTCTTGTTATTTCGTAAAGAACACTACAGAGGGGCAGTTTGCCAGAAAGTAAATGTTGAGATAATGCTTCACTTCTCATGGGGATTGGTGAAAGTTACACAGTGTGGGTTTGCCTTTTTTTTAAGAGCTTCCAACAGTAAGATGTTTGCCTCTGGGGCAGAGACCTCTGGGATAGAAGCAACACATAGGTAGTTCTCACCGGGGGCAAAAAAATGAGAAAGAGCCTGTCTCTTTATAAGATCCGAGGACACGCAGAAAGAAAGGAAAAATATTCTAGGGGAAGTAGTCAAAAGCTGCAAAGAAAGAGAAGCTAATATGGATTTTGAAGTCTATGGCCTGAGGACTGGGAATAAACTACCAAGAATATTTTGTACCAGGTGAGATTTAGAGTGAGTTAGTGTAATCCATTCTTAGGAATTGTATTTGCTTTTTTCACTCATGCCCTTAACTGTTGTTAATGTATGCCATAACTGAAAGAAATTTAAACATGATACGGAGAGCTAATTTAATGTAATGTGAGTCTGTGGACAATACACCAAAAACTGTGGGTACATGTCATAGCAAGTGCTTTTTTAGGGGGGGGAAGGAGGGAATAGCAACAACAAATACATACATACATATATACATACATAAATAAAACTTCTCTCGGTGTTTGTAAAAAAAATTTGGTCAAATTTCTAAAAGGTCAGTTCAGTGAACATTAACACCTTAGGTATAAGTTTAAATCTATTTTTAATAACTTTAAAATATAATTATTTTGTCTATTAAGTTTATTCTTTAAACTTATTACCCTGATAAATTTGAACAGCAAAGATCCTAAACATAAATTAGGATTTTAACAAATTTTAAATAAGTATAGATAATTCAGGATTTTTCCCAGCCTAAGTGTGAGTATACTCTTCCTCTCTGAGGTTACCACTTAACCACTGAAAGCCCTGCTTCAATTGAGTTCCCAGATCGATAGATGTTGACAAGGGAGAAAACAAATAAACGTAATGTAACCAATGATAGTGAACATCCTGTTTTAAGCTAAAAGAAATCTCTAAGATCAAAATATGTGGTATTAATAAGAAATCTTGTTGATGCTTATATTAAAATGCATCCATTTCTATAACACTGATAAAGTAGTGTTTTGGTAAAATGTTCTAGTTAATTCAGTATAAATCAACTCCTCTACTTACAAAAATAACACATGACTACAGTACCGTACTTGCAAAGAAAATGGTAAGAGCATAGACGTACAGAATCAAAAAATGAACAAATATTGTTTTTGTATCTACTCCACTCAAGGGAGTATGGTAGTTTTAGAGAAAGCATAAAAGCAGATGAGTAAGACAGTGCCTTGGATGAAATAAAGTGAGAGAGAGAGAAGATGCAATCCACTAGACAAGAGGAAGAAAGTGAAAGGCAGCAGGGAGTGGGCATGTAAGTGGGGAAAGGAGGAGGCTATGGCAGAATACAGTAGATCCGCAGGGTGGTAACTCCATATAAATAAAGAGAAAGGGATACAGAGCAAGTATTTTACCTTGTGTCTGTGCGAGAAATAATGAAAGCAACTTTCTGCTGTGACGGATTGATCTGTTATGATATTTGGATTTTTCCAAGGTCTCTCTAAAACATCTCAAAGTGTCTGTCACGTCCACGGGCACACAGACAAGCTCTTTGGCGTGGCTGTATTCTGAAAGGAAAGGGGAGAGGAACACTGGGGATGAAATGCTACCGCAAGCCAACTAGTAGCAAAGACTTTCTAATTCAGAGAATTTCTTGGTCCCAAACTAAAGTTGCTAAATTCAAAGCCCTCAGGTCTGCAGCAGGTGTTTCAACGTTCAGATCAAATTTTTTTTTGGTATATCTGAAAGTTCTTTAACAAAAAAAAAGGAAGAAAACTTAGAAAAATTTTGATTCGTATGAAATGCAAATAAGTTTAGATCTTGCCAATTTTCCTTACGAAGCCTCCTACTTTTTCTTTTGCTGATCATAAAAGATGAAATAATCTACTCCTTTTCAGCAGCATCTTCAAAGCAAAGGTGCCTTGGGAAAGAGACGAAAGGAAGAAATAAAGAAGCTTGGAGATGGGCAACTGCTCTCTTAGGAAAAGGAAAAGACAGGTTTCTAACATTGGAGGATGCAGAGGAAAGGAAGATGGGGTCATAAGGGGTATGGAACTAAAACACAGTCCTGAAAGGGGAGAGAGTGGCAGAGAGTTGCTGCGAGGTCTCTGGAGAGGAAGTGATGGCCCAGGAATGGGGCTGCAGGTTTGCTGCATACACTGTGAAGCCGGCACAGGAGAAAGGAGAATCACAGGCTTCAGACGGAATAACAAAGGGATTTACTTCTTCAACAAGTTCAACAGGTCGAATGGCCCCTGTAAAATCAGAGGTCTTGATAGTACGTCAACTTGCTAGGGAGTGGGGCTATAAGAGGTTAAGAGGCACGACCTTTGCCCTGGAGAGTTCACAGTCTAGCTGAAGAGATGAGGCATCCTGGCATGGGAGCATTAAAATCACAGTGAGAGAGAGTATCTGGTTACATGCTAAAATGAGGGAAAGAGAGGAGAGAGAGATCAGCGTAGGGAGGAAAGGATGAGCAGGAAAGACTTTGTGGGAGAGAAGATATGCCAGCTGTGTCTTAGAGGACAGGGAAGATTTGATTAGGAAGAAAGAGGGAAGGGGTTTTAATTAGAACAAGAACAGCTCAAGTTGATTGAGAACTTACACTATGCCAGGAACTATTCTCAATAATTTACTGTGATAGTTTGTTGAATCCTAACAACCATAAGAGGTAAGTACCATTATATCCTCATTTTACAGATGAGGAAAATAAGGCAGAGAGAAGTCTAGTAGCTTCCCTTCGGTCCCAGGACTAGTTTGTGCAAGGAGAGGTATGGAAGCACAAATAAGGATGGTGATTCGGGGCAGTGAGATGACATGGCCAGTCTTTTGAGCAAACAAGGGTTTGCCACAGGCCTGAAGCTCTCACTGAGTAAGTGGCCTTCATCCTCTTTAATGGGGAGCCAAGGAAGGGTTGGGGCAGGACCCTGACGGAAAGAGATTGGTACTTTAGGAAGAGTTAGCTGACAGTTGTATACACAGCAGACTGCAATAGAAAGAGGTTGCTGGCTGGGAGACTGTGAAGCTACAAGAACACCAACATTTTGTGATTTGAACTCAACTAAGGCAGTAGCAATGGGAACAAGAGAGGGACACAGGGAACGCTCCAATGTTAGAGGCGACAGGCAAGTGGTTAATTGGCTATGTGGTAAAGAAAAAAAGGGGGAGGGAATTACCTCTTCCTCGTCCTTTCAAGGCCAATGACCTTACTTCCTACCTCAATGGAAAAAAATTGGAGCAATCCAAAGAGATTTTCCACAAGCCCCCACCACCATATCCACCCAGCCCCCAGCACCTGTGCCCATTTACCCCTCAAGGGCATCACTCCAGCAGTTCTCCTTTCCTTCTCCAAATCATCAATTTTTCCCTCTGCTGAATCATTCCTAACAGCACATTTTGCTGTTTTTCTCCTATTTTTAAAAAATTTTTAAATTAAAAAAAATTTTATGTTCACTGTGGCATTATTCACAATAGCCAAGATATGGAAACAACCTAAGTGTCCAACAACAGATGAATGGGTAAAGAAAATGTGGTATATACATTTGCAACAACATAGATAGACCTTGAGGGCATTATGCTAAGTGAAATAAGTCAGACAAAGATAAATACTGCATGATCTCACTTATATGTGGAATCTAAAAAAAATCAAACTCATAGAAACAGAGAACAGATTGGTGGTTGCTAAAGATGGAGTGTGAGAGGTGGGTGAAATGGGTGAAGGTAGTCAAAAGGTACAAACTTCTGGTTATAAGATAATTAAGTTCTGGGGCTGTAATGTACAGCATGGAGACTACATTTAAGTTTCTAAAAAAGAAAAAAATTTTAAATTTAAGAAAATTAAAAACCTTTCTTTCGACCCTACTTTCCCTCAAGCTACCACCCTATTTTTATGCTCCATTTTACAACAAAACTCCTCAAAAAGTTCTACATTCATTGTTTCTCAGTCTCTCTTAAAGTCATTTAAATCAGGCTTCCTCCCCATCATTCCACCCCAAGGATCTTCCTGTGGCTAAATCTAGTGTTCAATTTTTAGACTCTATCTCACTTAAATTTTCAGCAGCATTTGACCCAGCTGATAACTCCCTTCTCCTTGAAATACTCCCTTCACTTGGCTTAAAGGTCCTTTTCAACCTCACTGATCACTCCTTCTTAGTCCTCTTCGCTAATTCATCCTCATCAACCAAACCTCTTAATACTGGAAAACCCCAGGTCTCAATCCTTAGACTGCCTCTCTTTTCTTCTTAATTTATACTCACCCCCTTGATGATCTCATCTAGTCTCATGGTTTTAAATATCACCTGTATGCTGGCGGCTCTCAAATTTTATCTCTGGCCCCAACTATCCTGAAGTCCAGACTCATCTATCCAACGGTCTACTCTGCTGTGAATCCAATAGACATCTCAAACTTAAAAGGTTCCCAACTCATTTCCTAATCTTCCCCCGCAACCTGCTCATCCCACAGTCTTTCCCCATCTCATTAAAGGGTGGTTCCATTTTTTCAGTTGTTCAGGCCAAAAGCTGAAATCATCTTTGACTCCCCTTCCTCTTTCATGCCCCAAATCAAATTCACAGCAAATCCTATAGGCTCCTCCTTCAGAAAATATCCAGAGTGCCACCGCTTCTCACCAGCTCCACTCTTCACTACCCCTTCCACTTTGTTCCAAGACCTCATCATCTCTTTTAGAATTACTGCAATCACCCTCCTAACCAGTCTCCCTGTTTCCACCCTTTCCACTCCTACTATGTGCTCTCAACACAGCAACCAGAGGATGCCTTTTAAAATTAAGTTATCTCGTGCCACACCTCTGCCCAAGACCCTCCACTGGCTTCCCCATCACCTAGAGCAAACACTAAAGTCCTTCAAAGACCTATAAGGCCCTGCCTGAACTGGATCCCCATGACCACTCTGACCCCTTCTCTCACTATTCTCCCCCTCACTCCCTCCCACACCAGGCAATCTTCCGCCTCAGGGTCTTGACACCAGCAGTTTATGTTGGTCTAGAACATTCTTCCCTCAGATATCCCCATGTCTTTCTTCCTCAGGTCCTTAAGGTTATTGCTTAACTGTTAACTTCTCAGGAGGCCTTCCTTGATCACTCTATTTAAAATTGTAACACTTCCCCTTCCTGACTTCTCTTTGCTCCGTAGCACTCACCATCTTCTGACGCACTGTTTTACTTGTTTATGGATTGTCTCCTGCCACTAGAATGCCAGTTCCATGAGGGCAGGGATTTTTGTCCATTGTGTCTACTGCTATAACCCCTAACTATAACAGTGCCTGTTACACGGTATGTGCTCAATAAATGCGTGCCAAGTGAATGAATGACAAGTTTTCAAAGCTAAAGGGCTGGGATAAAATTTATTAATAATCACTTCTATAGATCTTAATCTCAATTGATCCTCACAGCACCTTACAAACTAGTAGGGGTAGATGTCACTCACACTTTACAAAGGAGGAAAAGTGAACTTGAGGGACATTAACTTTTTTTAAGCCCTTATAAGACGTAAGAGAGAGAACCAGTCTTCAAGTCCAGTATATTTCCCAGATAGTTTGCCAAAGGGCATCAGATCTTAGGTAACAGGCAATGACCCAGATTTAAGGCCTGAAAATTTGGGCACAGAGATGCTTTGAGAATAGGAGAGGAATAAGCCCAAGATAAGTTAATGAGAAGGAGCCTGGGGTCCTTGTGAGCCCAGGAAGGTCCTGATGGAATTAGCAACATGGTTATATTCTATGGCCATAGAGACAACATCTTTCAATTATACCCTAATGTCTAGAAATCCTGGAGGTTCTAGTCAAACCAGGAACATTGTCACATTGAGAGAAGCACTTGCCCCTCCAACAAGCTCACCCTTGACACACTTCCCTAGCACACATTGAAAGAGGGTCAAATACTTAGGCCAGAGTGGCTCTTATTAACTCCCCGGGAGCTCTCACTCTTCTACCTCACCAATTTCACTCTCTTGTCCACTCCATCCTGTCTCCACCATCTTGCTCCCTCAATTCCCCTATCCTCTAAGCCAAGCCCAGCCCTGCATGATCCCTGACAAAGCACACCCCCACTCCTCCTTATGCATAACATTCTGAAGATTATAGATTTCTGCTCTGTTTTTCTTGCAAGAATTCATGAGCTTGACTTTCATCTTTTTCTCCTTAGAGAGTGAGATCAGGGAAAGGAGTTAAGCGAGCCAAGGAAAAGGAGGAAGCTGGAAGCCCTCACATATTATTATTTTGAGACAGTTACTTTCTCTAGGCCTTAACTTCAAATATCTGTTAAAATTGGGATGATAATATTTACCTCCGAGGGATATTGTTTGGACCTGTGTGGGAAGTGTCCTGCCTAGTGCCTGTCATGGAGTGAGCATTCAATAGATGGAGGCTCACATATTGACCATTAGTCATATATCCTTAAAATATATATTGAGCCCCTACCAGTACTAGGTGCCGTGCTAGGCACTGAGGAGATACAAGTGAACAGAACAGACACACTCCCTGCTCTCACAGAGCTTACATCTAGAATAAAAATCACAAAGGCATGCCAGTGATTGGGGGCAATAAGAGGGAGAG